ATGCTAACTATGGACAACGGAGATCTGCTATTACGGTTTGGTCTCGTTGCAGTAGCTGAAAGTGAAGATTGCGTATCACACTCAACCAAATGCACAGCAAGAATTCCTAGCAGTATGGGACTGATTTCGGCGTTGAAACTGGTGTTCGGCCTGTGAAAAGCCATTTGTGTTTACGTTTGTCAATGTGTACAATCACTTTCTCATCTCGGGTGACAAATTGATGAAGAAATAATTCCGCCTTCGGTCCGTTTATCAAAACGTCACAGATTGTGGGACGCTGGATTATGTTTTTTGTTGTAAGTCGGTGTGGGACCCAGACTCCTTCATCTGCTGGAGGTGCTCCTTAACAGTCTTCCAGGATCGGTGAATGCCGCCTTCCATTGTATATTCTCGATCGAAACCAACATAGCAACGGGCTCGTGGCCCGTATGGGTCCTTCATGAGCTGACGAGAATCTGTCTCACCGGTTGCGCACAAAAGGGCATTATCCAGCCTCGCTGATCTTCCCGGATGATAGGCATCGGAGAGGTCGAAATCGCCCAATCAAAATTCTTCACACCAACGCTGGCACTTGCGGCCATTTAAAATGTTCTGATAAACACCACAATTGGTTTTGGTAGCTGTTGCTGCGTTGTCCCCTAACGAAATTCACGAAGTACACAGTGACGAACTCGACTGTCTTCGGATTTTGTTTTTAATTTTATTAGGCTCAATCTTAAAAACATAATATATATGAAAATCCATAGATGTTTTGGCCGATTTTGAATAATTCATATTGACTCGACTGTGAAAAACTCTAGGCTTCGGTGGGATTCGAACCCATGACAGTAACGTGAAGGCCTTAGCGCAGCCGACGCTCTAAGCAACTGAGATACGAGGCCCTGCCGGCCGTACTAAAGCCTCCACCTTACTGCCGTGAGTTCGAATCCTACCGAGGCACCGAGTTTATCACATTTGGTTCCACATGAATACATAAAAATCTAGAAAAACAGCACCTAAGGGATTTACAAAAACAAATAGTTCGAGTGGAGCAGACATTAAGACTATAATATTCTAAATAGGACCAAAAAAGGCCTTCCTGTCCGGTATCCTAATAGCTGGTTCGTCCAAACCCTTGTGGGAGGCACGGCGCGTGAGATCTGAAGTGAGGAGGGGAAGACAATTACAAACAGTGAAAAGCTGATGTATTTTATCAGCGACTTTCTAAGGGGTCACAGTTAGTAGACCCTGCCAATGTGTGTGAAGTATCCCCTTATATTCAGTGATAGCTATTGCCTTATTGTGTGCGTGGGTATACAGCTGAAAGTTTGGGACAAGGGGTCCGAGAGGTAGATGATAAGGCAAGAAGACTTCATACTTCTTTCTTAGAGTCTATTGTGTCGAGGTGGTATATGCGTGCGCGCACTTCCTTGTAGCGTGTCGCATTCGTTTGTTGCCCGTTCCCTTTATGCGATAGAGTAAGTAACAGTATGTGTTCCCAATGGGTCGTGGTCAATTTGCCTCAGTACTGAGAGATATTTGGCCTCTCCGAGTGAGGGAAGAACCTGTTGCCTTCCCAATTTCGGGCCATCAGGTCTCTCTTTTTTAACCGCCTGTCTGTATTTTCCACACCACCCATAATCAGTGATTCGGTCGGATGAATGTCGTAGGTCCATCGCTTTGTGCATCAGCGCCTTCCACTGAGCTAGGCGGCAGATTCCAGGAGAAAGTTTAGTTGGTTGACACGCCAGAACTGCGAGGCCAGAGGGGCACTCGAGGGCTAAATTTCATCAGGTCTGCCTATCTCGTCAGTTGGCCATCTTGACAGCCAGGGTAGCATCCTAACGAAATGGTATCCCACGTTGGGGGCGGTGCAGTGCACTGTCGAGTCGTCTCAGTCGACGAGTAAGAAGGGCGCTCTTGACCGCTTATAGCCCTGACTGACGGTATACCTGTTAACTAGAGACGGCTGGAGAGGGCGATATGGTACAGACTTAATACTTACAGATAGTGGATACCACAGAGTTTACAAGCATGTATAAACATTCGCACATAGGGTCCTCGTGACTGAAGCCCCATACATGCATGCAACTTGGTTTTCGGGTGGATTTCGTGCTGATACCGGTGGCTTCGACAACGTCTAAACTAACCAACAAGGGTTGATGTTTTTGGCAAGTGCGCCGTAACTCAGTCTGCCGGTCCCGCTTCAGCTTTGGAAGCATTTTCTACACTTAACTGCCATGACTTCGTCCCGTAAGACTTGTCTGCGACGGCATAGCATCCGTCATGTTTACACCGTTTATGCTGTGACACATTAGATTAACCCTTCCGTGCCAGATCGCATTAGTTGAGTCTTTTTCCACTAAAATGCAGAGTATTTTTGAGGGACTGGAGGCGGTTGCACCAGTGTGTGAAATTGG